GAAACTAAAACGTAAGAACGATTTGACGTCATGGTGCTCGCAAACAAAGTATTTTTCTTTACCATCGGTAGTTTAAATCCACTTACTCTGCTGCATTTTCCATACTAGTATAAAACCTTAATTCCACTAAGCAAAATAAACTAGGAAAATATAAGGCCGCTACTATAATATCAATGTAAAAATTAAATATCGATTCCTGATATTTTTTCAAAGATTTTCTTATGAGTAACAACTTTATTCTTTGTGTGGTGCTTAAAATCGGGATCAAAGCCGACTTCCCGACGAGTATTTGTCTTATCTTTCTTGTTACCTCCGCCTGAACTCTAAGCCTGTGGATTAAGTCAGAATGGGAAATAAAATAAAATTATTCAGAATGGTGTATATAAATTACTATGTTGTGAATGATATTGATAAATGGTGGAAGAAGCAAAAGAAATGAAAAAAACAGATAAATCGTACCGCGAACCCGCTCTATCCACGCTACATTTGACATTTAAAATTCGGTACCCAAAGATGGAAAGTGCGTAAAATAAAAAGCATTTCTATACCTCATGACATTGAAAACTAAACGTAAGAAGATTTTGACGTCATTGGTGCTCGCAACAAAGTATTTTTTCTTTACCATCGTAGTTTAAATCCACTTATCTGCTGCATTTCATACTAGTATAACCTTTATTCCACTAAATGCAAATAAACAGGAAAATATAAGGCCGCTACATGATATATCAATGTAAAATTAAATCGATTCTGTATTTTTTTCAAGTTTTCTTATGAGTAACAACTTTTATTCTTTGTGTGTGTGATGCGATCAAAGCAATACTATTTTTGTCACGTTTTTGGACTTTACAGAATACTTAACTGTTAGAAATATTACGAATAACTATCCAATAATATTTATAAGTAGGTAACAGAGTTTGAATTACGAAAGGAAAGTTGAAATGTAGTGAAATTTTACACTACAAGGATTATTTAGACAAAAAAGTAACAGTAACGTTCGGGTTCTGTTCCGCACATGAAATATGTTTTGTCTAGCTCGTCTCAGAGCACATTCCAGGAACCACAGTCCATTCTGTTTCGCTTTTTCTTCTCTTTTCTATGCACCACTTTTGTCTCATTTGGCGTCAGTGTGCAACGGCGGTGGAGGGAGTGGACGTTCGGAGCGGTGAATGGCGAGGGGGAGGGGCGAAGGGGCGCGCTGCACCTTCCACGCCGCCGCCGCCGCCGCCGCCGCTTGCAGAGGCAACTCAAAGAGGCGGAGCCACGAGCGAGTATGTGCAGCGGTCCACGGCCCGGTGTGAAGCGGCTCTCGCTGCGCGGCCCTCAACGAGCGGACATTTCGAAGCGCGCACGCCGCCCCCCGCCCCCGCCCGCGCTGGGGAAGCCATGGGACCGGGGAGATATATTCAGGGTTTTAGCCAAAATTCATCGAATGGAAAACAGATTCCAAATACGTAAAACTACATAAAATCTACTCTTTCCAAGTCCCTTAATGACTGTTCTTCTCTGGGACTATCCATGTCTATTTTTCTCTAGGTCTTGTGTTTTTTTGCGTTTACGTTTTTAATGCCTATTTTTAATGAAGTAACGTCTTTCAATTTCGAAAACCCCCTTCATACATCTGTACACTCAATAGTATAAAGAATTGATTCAAACATTTAATTTCAGTTAATTAATTAATTTCTGGCAGTATTCCAACTTGTCTTGAATTTTTTCACCATGTCAAATTGTTTATCACACTTTATTATAATATTATTATTACCATGTAGATTTTTTAAAAAATAAATACAATATTCTAGGGATTACGGAAACGATTTATTTTTAGTTCGTTTTTCGACAATTTTGTGATTTATTTTGCTACATTGCACTGCAATACTTCTGATTAAAAAGTCCTCAAAAAAACCTCATTGACATATTCACACTCTTCACACAGGAAGTTTCATTCTTTGATTTCTTTTGCTGCAATGAGCTTGCTTGAATATGATGAATTTAGCAAACCATCCGACGTTTTTTTTTCGGGCATTTGTTGTATATTCTTACAGCTACTTCCTTTCACTAATGGCCGTTTTGTCCAATTAGTGCGAGAAAAGTTTGTGGTTTCTCTGGTACTCGCGCATTTAAGTCTCCGCGGAAGGTCTCTCCCAATACACTCATTTGCGGAGAACGCCCTGTTAGCATTTCGTGTAATATCAGTGACTGTATCCGCAGTGGGAATACCGCCGGAGAAGCTTCGCGGGAGTCCGTTCCCAGGCTGCGAGATCGCCCCCACACCCATTGGTCACCGCCCACCTTCGCGTTCGCTTCTCCCCCTCCCAGGCGCAGCTCATCCGGCGCTGCCCACTCCAGCTCGGCGTTCGCCTCGCCCGCCTCCCTGCTCCGCCCCGCCCCTTCCGTTGCAACCCATCCGGCGACGCCGCATCAGCCTCATCCCGCCCCTCCTTGCCACTCGTCCACACCGTTCCCTCCTCCGCATTCGCCTCGCACCATCCTCTTACGTCGCGTCCTACGCGCGTATCGCCCGCTGCCCGTCCCTCTCATCATCCTCCCCTCCTCGACCGGCACCGCACTCCTCCACAAGGTCGGAATGATCTCTGGCCGATGGACTTCGGGCGATACACGACGTGCAATGGGCGGTGGGCGGCACCGCTTCGGGCGAACGCGCGCCGGCTGGGCGATCGCCTCGAGATGATGGTGCGGTGCGGCGCGGTAAAAATACCCGCGCGCCGATTTCACACGCGGAGAAGCGTAACAATGGAGCGACCGGGCGCACGGACCCAAAATTACGTGGCAGCCCAGGCTCTTATTACGGAGGGCGGAAGCCCCGGCGGCGGCGCGCGTGACTGCGCCTGCGCAGGCCATCTGCAACCCAAACGTCCTCCGAGGCCGCGCAGAGCCCAGTGACCCAGCGGTGCGGCGCCCGCCCGACGCCCCCGGCCGGAGCGTATTTGCTCAGGCTTCGTTTTTACTACGACGCTCCGTCTAGAGCTCGGTGGTAATTGTCATGTTACACTGTAAAGCTTTTTGCGTATTCTCCTCCGTTTTTCTTCGCAAACAGTACGCAAGTACTCACGTTGATACACGTCGGGCAGCTAGCGAGGAGTTTCTTGCTCGTACGATTTATGCCATTACTTTCTAGTTTTTTCAGTAGTAGTTTCTAGTTTCTAGTAGTTTCAATGGGGTACATGCACCGTACTACTACATATCTTAAATATGCACATAAAATACCCAGCATCACTGTGCTCAAGGCGAGGAGAAGTACCTCAATATGAGATAGCATATACTCGTAGTCAGTCAAAGCGTACGTAATTCATCGGAGAAATCTTACATTGGTATAGAAATGTTGTAGCCACAACTTGTTCTCCATTATGAGCGAGCGTACCTTACGCAGTACTTTCTGAAGTTTTCTTCATATTCTCTTTCGTAAATATGTATTGCACTAAAGTAGCACATTAACACGTCTTTCTCTGAAAACGTGTCTCCACGAGTTCTTAATTAGAATACCTGAAATCCCGTGCATACCACTTCACATCTTTCGCCACCGATCTCGCAAACAGTAACGCGACCGCCAACTGCAAGAGGACAATTCGTATGCATAAGCGGCGCGATAACGTCGCAGACAGCACCGCGGCAGGCGTTCTCACGCACTCGCCCACGCAGCTTCCGGCGCCGCCGCGCCGCTCGCGGGCGTTCGGAAAGCGTGGGAGTGCGCAGCGGGCGGTGGGAGCAGGCTGGCGCGCGCGCGCCCGCGCCCACGCGCGCGCTCCGGGCCGCCTAACGGGGGTCGAAGCCCGAATCTGTGTCGCGCCGCTGGGCGCCGCCGGCAGCCCCTTCCGCGCTGTCACTGCGCCGCCGCTGCGCCGGGCTGCGCTCCGCCCCGGTTCACTTGCATCGCTAATGGAGGCGCAGCACCGCTCCCCGGCGAGCGCTGACGCAACGCCTTTTATTACCCACCACTCGCGGGGCTCGTTACAAGCACAACGGCTCACTTAACCAAAGAATGCATCTACTCGACTAAGTAGGAAGCAGCGTGTACAAACTGACTTCTCGGCTTGCTCACTTGCAGACGAACGTTTTAATATTAAGATACAAGAAGTTATTTCAAACGTCTTGTATATTGTGTCACTTACGTTTACCACTTGATATTTTTGTTGCTGTTTTTAGTGTACTGAATCGAATTCCAGTAGCATCGTTTTATAGAAAAAAGAATATATGATAACCTAAAAAGTCCTTCAGTATTGTTGAAATGAAATAGATATCGTAGATTGACAAATTATTTTTTTAATAAACCAAAATACGAATGAACTCGACAGCTGTGGAGATAAAGTCTTCATATAGCCTAAAGAATGGAAATGAAAACACCATTCTCCATATTTCAATTCCAATTGCCCCTCCAGTCCGTTAAAACCAATTTTCTGATACACCACAAAATGCGACGACCCTATTCGAAGTGTATTATTATCCGTCGACTACGGTTTCGGTCACACGTACATTGTTGCGCGTTCGCTCAAAAGAAGCGAATCGGAGTCGTTTCTTTTCCCGCTGCCAGAAAACAGCGAGCGGGCCCACCCACTCGCCTCCTTCCGAATAGGATCGCCGCCGCCGCCGCCGCCCCCGCCGCCTCAAGCAGCGCAGCGGTCGCAGGCTTCCGCCCGCGCGTTGACACACGACGGCGACGGCGCGCGCTGGCGCTTGCGCGGGCGAAGCCGCCGGTTGCCGTAACGGCGCGGCCCAGCGCGGCCGGCAGGCGACCAGCCGCCCGACGTCCCCACTGACCTACATGCCGGTACGACACACGCTCCCACCCGCCCGTCCACCCACGGCGGCGGCGGCGGCAGGCGGGGGCGGGGGAGGGGGGATCCGGAGAAGAAGCGGGGAGTGACCGCGGAGGTCCCGTTGTTCGCTCTCGCACGCACGGCCGCACCGCGCCGCGCCGCGGCGGCGGCGGCGACGGCGGCTCCGGAGGCGGAGCAGGTAGTCAGTCGGCGGTCGACCTTCAGACGGAGCGTTCACCCGAGGAGCATCGCGGAGCACTCAGAGCCTGAGCAGCAGCGGGCGCCGGCCCTCCGCCTCCGCCGCTCGGCCTTCGCACGCATTCACGAAAGTCCGTCGCGCGCGCAGCGGCGCGCAGCTTACGTCACGTCTCACTCGCCTCTCGACTCGCTCCCTAGGGAAGTTCAAGGTAAGTTGAAGACGACGAGTTCTCTACCAAGTTCGAGGCCTGCACTGTGCTAGTGGCTGCAAATGAGGTGTTTCAGTTCGTGTGTATCAGTACGTCTGCGATGTGGATTGATCGTCGAAAAACGTTTGGTGTGAGGCGTCTGGATGAAATGTTGTTTAGCAACATACATCGATGCAAGCGATGCTCTGCGACGGTGTCTTCTGGGGACTGAAAACTACAATACAAGTGCCGCTGCGTTGAAACTTCCGGTATTTCGTAAAAACTCGTTTCCATATTGCACAATGTTATGCCTTACGTTAATAGAAATGTCAGCTAATGCAACTACCGAACACGAGTTCATACCCGTTATTTCTGGATTAGCAAGAGATGTATCTGTAATTTTGTCGGTCTGCAATCATTTCCTTTCAGCGCCAACAGACTGCAATGTACACTCGTAAATCGCATATTTTGTATATTTCTTTCGTGAAACCAAAAAAAAGAACATAAATGCAATTATTGCGACACATTTAGGCATTCCAGTAGAAGTATTCCTGGATGTAATTATGTCATGATGAAAGTAAGTAGACATGTTGTGAATGTATTCCAGTCAACGTAATATGGTTACATGTTCTTCAAATCCACGTTATGTTGTTCTGCACGAAGCAACGTAACATTTGCCGCCGCCAAAGATTGATAGTGTTCATTCGCAACGTCTCAATGTTGCTGGACGCTCCCCGCTAAACATTTAATCTTCCAAAGATTAAAGCCAACTTCCAAGACAAAATCAAAGTTTGCTCTCTGAATCTTGATACCACAAATACTGAGGACAGATCGAACCCTCTTTTGGGACTTGCCGTACGACATTCTTACGACGCTCGCTTTTCGAAGTACAAAAGCATACGTGAAATATACCACCATAAACAAAATGTTGAAATGTAATTATAATTTTTGTTCGTACATCAAGAAATGAATATGTGTGCCGGAATGTACTTTTCCGAGGAAAACATCATTAAAGTATCAGAAGAAACTTAGAAAAGAATTTGTTGAAGTAATAATTCTCTGTTCATAATAAATCAGTCCTTGCAAATTGTATGGACGAGTTAAGAGAAACATATAATGGACGGTTGGGATTTGAAACGTCAATTTACAAAAGATCCTCTCCAAATTAAAAATTGATACGTCAGCGCCAATGAACGGTCTCTCTTGGTAAAGGAAAAGAGACAGTTCACTGGGGAGGGTAGGATGCGACTGTTGCCAAAAAGGTTACCAGAACAGTAGACGTCAGTATGTGGTTCAGCGACATGCAATGTGGGAAAGTACAGTCTGCAGCGAAATACAAATATCACGACATCTCAGGTCACATTAACATTTTCTGTGAAGTGCGAAAGCCATTAACCTTCTTCGCAAAACCATAATGCAAAGTGACATCGAATAGACAGCCTTCGTAGTGACCTATAATTCTCAATATCATTCACACGAAAAAAATAAAATGCGTTATATCTCATGTGTGAAGCCGCTTGAATCAGCTACTCGTGAAACATGAAAGGAATTTACATTTCTCAATATCATAGTATATTTTAATGTCAGTGAACGCTATGAATACCATTGACCTTTTTGCTTCAAATCACTTGTAATAAGGAACAGTTGCTTTTTTTAAATCGCCTGGCAAATCACGATCAATTCCACAGGCATATCTACAGAAAATCGTACGGGATATTTTTGAAAATCTTGACTCAACATTCGGTCGTTCAACCTTACCCCGCGCTCCTCAAAGCACTTATTTAGCGAACGGTAAAACTGAACTGAATCTGTCTTCGTTTCAAGAGGTAAGTCACCGGTCACTCTTCCGCCCGACCACTTCTTTGGCGGCGCTCAATGGCAAAGGAAGTGGCTGCTTACCGCACAAAGAGCAGTCGGCGGCGACTGCAGAACAGCGCTCGCTTTCCGCTTCTGGGCGCCAGGAATCTCTCAGGGGCACCTCTGGCAGGCAACGCGCGTTGCGACTTGCTCCGTCGGAGTGCCCCGCTTCCTGAACATTTCGTTTATCTTGCTCCACCACTGTCTTTGTCTTCTTCATTATTATTATTATTATTATTATTATTATTATTATTATTATTATTATTAATACTACTATTATTTCCGTTATCATTCCGTTTAACCCTTCCCGAGCCACCTTTAGTGACTCGGGGAACTCTCACTTGGTCGTCGCTTCTCGGAACTGTCGACGCTTGTGAGAATTTTCTTGAATCTATGGGAGTGTGTCCATTCGAGGTTGGAGAATTGGTCCATGGCTGGTCCATTAGAATTGGGAATGAGGATGGAAAGAGGAAGGGAGGATCACGCGTGATCCGTTACCCATTGACTAGGGAACTCTTCCGACATCTTCCTGAAACTGATCGGAGCACAGCCGCCCACTTTAGAATTCTCATCCAGACACAGAAACGCATCGATCCAGCTGGTGTGGGAAATAAGCTTTGCACCGCCGATTGTCGAACCTAGGATCTCCCAGACTACGAAGCTACAGTTTCGAACTCGCATCTACACACGTTATCGTAGGCGATTTTCCTTATTATTCATTCCCTTATTTATTTACTGACTAGCCAAGTTATATGTTGAAAACTCTCAGGCACGAGAACTCAAAAATATAAATATGTGTGATTTTTTAAGGGTTTATATGCTGCAACAAAAACGTTGCCACAAATCACCTTGCCCAGAGCCGCGACTCCGGCGCTACCCGCTCGTCCCCCTCCTTTCCGCCTTCGAACGACGCCTGCAGCAATGTAAGCAGCAGTTATTTTTCTTGGGGTTCCATAAAAATAGTTTATTTGGTTTTCATGAGCCCCGCGAGGGAAAAGAAACGCTACAGACAAAAAATAAATGTCCGAATGTACTGAAAAGAACATTTGCAATTTATGCGTCAAATATGACATTGTCTTTTATATTTCAAATATTCTTTATTCGACCTTTGAGACAAAAATAGTTTTAATGTGATTAATATTTGTGTATTATGTAATTTTTTCCATCTCAGTATTAAAAAAGCTGAATAAAAATTTACTTAAGATGACCTCACAAAAATGTATTAGCCAAACTAAAAAAGCAACTTTTTATGACGGTTGTAATGTTAACTTTAGCTTGAGTTCAGCATTTTGGGACATTCGTTCACTTGGAGTTGTTCGCTTCAATTGTCACAGATACGGTTCTCAAATCTCCTGGTGCGCTCAGTCAGCATTTCCTTACGAAGCCGGTCCAGCAAAACTTTATTAATAAATTCATCCTGCATACGCAAGTAGATCAAGTGGCAAACTTCAAAATATGTCATGAGTCACTCCCTTGCGAACACCATCTAGTCGTTAACATATATTGAATGTTTGTATCATTTATGAACATATATTGAATGTTTGTATCATTTATGGTATATGAGAATAGCGTTTGTTTGATGGGTTTCTTAAATTCATGAAGAGTGATCTGTCACTATTTCACTAGTGTATAAACAGCTGTAATGACTAATGAATAAAAGTGCCATTAAAGCAGTTTTGTAAACATTTTAGTGGACTTTGAAATCCCTACCTTCATTTTTCATTACTTGAAGTCGAGTAGATTTTTTTACTGGAGAACTATTTTGCAATCAGCTGTTGACTTGCACAAGTACACCTTTTCAACAACCGAGGCGTTCCCTTGTGCCTCTGACCTCCTCGCCCAGCGAGGAAACAGCCCGGTTCTGCTCGAGCGTCGCGGTCGAGTGCCGGCGAGGCAGAGCCCCCTGCAACCACGGCCTCCTGCGGGGAACGTTGGCCCGGAGGGTGGGAGGGGGAGGGGGAGGGGCCTGTTCCGCTGCGCTCGCTGGAGGTTGGGTGGGGCACGACAGCCTTCCTTTCCGCGTTGGCTTCCCCACCCTCCCAACGCAGCTCTGCGCCTTCGGCATTTCGCCCTCACATTTCCCTTGCGAGGCGAGAAGATTCTTATGAAATTATGAAATGATTCTTTATTATTCATGCTTATGGAATTATATTAACTGAACAGTGACGGTGATTTACAAAATAATTACAATGGCCCCGTCATTTTTATTGAAATATTACACCTTACGGCCTTGGATCACACATGATACGGGATTTCATAGATGGAGACGACCGGTTACCCATCATTATTAGTTTTTGAACCACCAATCTTGAGACCAAGAATCGCACTGATACTCGCAGAGAAGATTTTTAAATCAATGTAACGACACGTTCGTGTTACCTTAATGTGATATTAATGGCAAATGGTAAGAAATTTCAGTGAGACAGGTACATTAATATGTTCAGTTGTCTCTAAACTGTCACCTTGTTGGATTGGCATTTACACTAGCAATGTGTTCCATCCAATAAGTCCCATAATGATGTTACATGTGTGAGTGTATGAAGTGTGTCCTACTACAACGAATAAGACTCTACTCACATTGCATAAATACTTCAGTATTCTAACTAAACTTTTATACATAAAACAAGCGACGTAAAGGTGCCAGTTTACGGTGTTATTTAAATTTACACATAAAATCACGCTTTTATTAGTCTTATTCTGTGGGTTTTGCCGAAAACGTTGCCGAAATTTACCACAGGTGGTACGCAAAGGTGGCGCCAGTAATGTGGAAAAACACAGTCCTCCTCGCTCAATTAAACAATCAGTCAAACATTAAACTTTCTAATTTACTTGTAACATTACTCTGTTGTTCTTTAGTATTAGTATAACACAGTAGTCAACTTCTTCACAACTTAGTTTATTTAATTATTTAAAGCTTTGCTCTCTCAGTCAGGTGCTCATTTGTTCTTTTGCTTGCAGGCTGTCTAAATGACCTTCAGGATGGTGCGTCTCTCGTGGCTTGCTTTGGTGTGCGCCGTTTTGGCTCCGGCGTGGGGTGAGTGCATTTATTTCATTTGACATCAATCACACCCACATATAATTCCAGATGAGGTTATGTTCTTCAAGGAAAATATCTCTCTTGAAGTTTTCAGAAAAGGAAATAGAAAATTATAGACAATGCTCCTCCGGGCGTATTTTGATATGTGCATTTAAACTGACATTCGTAGTATACATTATGCATTAATGTACACGTAGATTTACTCTATGACTATATAAACTGAATGTTATAAATAATTATGTATCAGAACCGCCTTCATTTATTATTCATTTATTTTTAAACAGCCATTATGTATGAGAACCTATTTTGATGTTGATTCAACGCTTGCTAATTCTCCAAAAACAAACATCTCTTCAATGTGTTTTAAGATCGATTCTGGTCACCGAAGTTCAATAAAAACGCTAATGAATATTCTTAGGGGGTAAATAAATCGCTTAAATATATTCTTGACAGAATGAATTCAAGATCTACGACCATGTAACTACGATCATGTCCCCAAATATTCGCTTTTATGATCAAGTTTTAAATTTTTTAGATTCTATCACATGATACTTCATTAATTTGATTTATACACATTTAGAATTTTATTTTAGAACTTAAATGAAGCTTTAATATTGTAAGTACAATATGTTAAACATCTTATTATCACTTTTTTAAGACAGAAGTAGTCATCTACAAGGGAACGCAGGCGTCTTTGTTTCATATTTAACGAGGAGAAATAGACAACAAGAACTCTAAATTAGTATTATAAAATAGGTAGACGAAAAAGTCGGAATCTCTATTGTAAGACTCGATTAACACGCTTCATTTTGACGAACACGTTCGGCAGTTTTAGCGCACGCACAGTATGACTTCTATGGTTGAAGAGCCTCTTTCCGCATGCGCGCGTTCACTAAAACTCCGAAGTCGTTCATCGAAAGGAAGCGTGGACATCGGGTCTAAGGGTAAGGATTCTTTTTCGGGCGACGCGATTCACTGTGGGCGAGCTGGTGGGCGAGTTCACGTGTTTGTGGTGTACGCAGGCCGCATCGCGTTCGAGAAGCTGACGGAAATGGACTACCGGGGCAGCACGTACTACACCGTCAAGAACCTCACGCTGTACGAGTGCCAGGGCTGGTGCCGCGAGGAGACGGACTGCCAAGCCGCTGCCTTCAGGTGAGTCAGCGCCCGCTCTCTAACCATTATACAAACGGGTTACCGGACACTGGAAACAGCTTTTTACAGCATGCATGCATGGAAACGAATTCTTACATTCGCTGTTTATTGATCGGAAAGAGTTCGCGGTACACGTACGACAAAGACTGCATAGCATCTAATATTGGTTGCTTCTAAGTAAACAAGACATTAGAGCCTCGGCAATCAACATGGCTGCCGCCCCGCGAATTGAAAAAGATCCCAAGAGCATCAACTTGAGGGTTTCCATGGATTCGTACAAAAAATGTAACTCGACGAAGGCGTTGTCATTTCAAATGCCGGACTCGAGCTCCTATCGCCCGTTAACATTTCATTCGTACTTTTCATTTTCTGTACTAGTTACGTAAATAACTGTTTTTCGTACTCTTGCCTGAAAACCACTACTTCAGTTTCACTTTCTCGTGTACTTACGTACATACGGAGCAACATATGTAGTACAGGCAAAGTTAAGTAATGTGAGAAATCGATTTCGAAATTCACTGATTTTGGGGTCCCATTATTTCCAAGAAGTATCTGTTGTATCTGTATCAAAACATGTGTCGCTATGCGCCTAAACAGTTCGTAGAATATTTTTCAAAATTAATATTCCCCGGTCGATCTAGTCCCACTCGAAACTCTGGGGTTTTAAAAATTCTTTAAAATATCGTAATACCGCTAAAATTATCGCGATTAGCCGGAGTAGGCCGGCCATAACACTATTGGAGAGAACGTGGATTCAGTGTCGGTGGTTTAATAGTATCTAGTATGATTTTTATGTAGTTTAGATGTACGTCTATTTTATATACTGTCTACTTCGGTACGAAATTGAAAAATCACTTCTCAGCAATAGAGCAGACGAATGATAAGACGTTTTTAGCGAAGGGTTTTTGCTCGATCCCTCCTGTTAGTTTCCGCTAATTTTCAAATAATATTATTCCAGTCTTCGGTTTTTTAACTATTGTATTAGCGTCTTTGGCAAGTTAAGAGTCTTGCACATGGCAAATGATCGCAGGGGTATACACTCATAAATGTTTGTGAATTCGAGATTAAAAATACTCAACACGAGTGAGAGTCACGCTTGTTCACTTTTTTAAAAAAAATTGGAATTAAAAAATTTCATTTTTACGCCAAAAACTCACTTTCTGTTCCATTTATGCAATTATGACAATATATTGCCTGGTGTTAATACATTATTTGTCTCCGATGGTCCAATTCTTAAGTTTACATGAATTCCTTTCCACCTCTTTCAATAATTTTTAATCTCAGTTTTCTTTTTATATCCTTTCACGTTTTTATCATCCTATCACTTTCCAATATCTTTACTAAGCAATCCCATCTACTTTGGTTCGGTCTCACTTTTTCACTTCCTATTTTTTTCGGTAAATTATATCTATTAGAAATACTTAGCCCCTTCCGGAATTTCGGTTCAACAAACTTCAGAGAATTACTATTAGAGATTGCTACTAATAATAATTATAAAATTTAACGAGTTCAAAAATTGAACCAAATGTCTTTCTTTGAATTTTTTCAATAATTTGCTTTTAATCAAATTATACTGATCTCCAAAGTGTGAGAAAAAGAACTAATATGAGGATGAAGGTAAAAGAGCTGCAGATTATGGATTCCAATGGTACAGCATCCTACATACAGTTCTCTTGAAATAGCATGAATCTTTACGTATTTTCATTAAACAAAATTTCCGCATTTCGATAATGAACAATAAAAGACAATGATTCAACAAACAATGAAAAGGTATTTATTGTCGATCCCAGTGCACGTGTCCTATTGTGCTAATTAAACTTAGTGGAATGTAAAAGAACGTTCTCTTTTTCGGCTTTACAAAACAGCTTTTAGGTTTTAACAGAGGTTTTATATTTAATTTGCTATTCTTTACATGCATTATTTTCGGTACAGTAATGTTTCACTCATGTCCTAAATGAAATTTAAAAGCTTTCTAATGGAAGAATATTTTATTAACATAGTTTTGTTACTTACCTGGCTTTCCAGAGTAATTGAAGGAAAATGATCGAATTATTGGTTGCACGTGATAACGATTTCTCCTTAATTCGCTTTAATTTTTCAAGTTCTTATGCGTTAGATACAGAAAACTTTGGCTCCTGTTTAATTTTTAGGAACAAAATAGTAATTAACATTTTCACGATTTTTTCACTTCATTTCCTATTTTTCAATGTTCATTGGAGTTTTAATTAAATTGTAACTGTTCTGTTTCTACAAAATCTTTTATAGAAAATGTAACTACGTCGCTTGCTCCTCAAGCACCCCTTTTCAACTACAGGACGGCATCTCGACACACACGAGTGTACTGCTGATTGCATCTGCCCCTGCAGCAGACCGTCCCACTCCAAACCACTTTTTTACCCGACTGTTCCATTTCTTCCATACTATTTTATCTTACCACTTCCAATAGTTTATACAGTAAAACTTTCCGAATAAAGTGTTCTGGTATTGGAAAGTATCAAATTAGAAACAAAAATTCTTCTGTTTTGATTATTATACAATAATACCACAATGAAAATATATTAAATCAAACTTAAACAATATTTCTACTTCATTTGAGTACCTTCGTATCCAAGAGGCACAATTATGATATCCCTTCATGAACACTTTTAGTTAAGCCTCTTGATGAATATATTGGGAGGGAAATTTATTAGACCTTGTTTTGTTGCAGCTTTGTAGTAAACCCATTGACACCCAAGCAAGAGACGCTGTGTATGTTGCAAAATGAAACATCTGCCACAAATCCATCAGCAGTTCCACAGCGGTCTGTCAACTTGTACTACATGGTCAAAATGCAGATACGCTCAGGTAAGAGGAATGTACTGATTTCTAAGTTTTCTAAAATAAGTAGTGATAGAACTAGGTAGTGATCACGTTATTTTTCTTCCACACTAATGCTCAAATAAAGTATGATCATTAAGAAACTAATTATAATAGGATGAATAATGAGTCACAAACAATGCATTCAAAGCCATTAGATGACATACACAGTGCTACTTTTCCAAGACAACCAGGAATAACATATTTGCTAAAAGCCACACTGAGAATTAACCCAATTTATTTTCAACAATATCTCAATATTTTGGTAATTCATTGAAGGTAGTAATGAATTTGAATTAGTAACAAAATGTGATGTGTAAGGTTCAAAATTCAAAAAAACATTTTGAGAAGTACACTTTTACATAACAGTACATTATTAACTATTTTAAGTTGAAGAATGGGATTCCTCATATGCTTTTATTCAGCATCTTCAACTTGTTTCATTGAAGTACTTCATGACTTATTGTTGATATTCAATTGTCTTTCTTTTTGTAGATAATGTCTGCTTGAGGCCATGGGCTTTTGAAAGAGTGCCCAACAAGATGATTCGAGGATTGGATAATGCCCTGATTTACACATCAACCAAAGAAGCCTGTCTTGCTGCTTGCCTCAATGAGGTAGGTAAACACAAAGAATATGTAAAAGATAACTAACTCAGAAAAAAGATGAATAACTCATTTTAAATATTTCAGGATCGTTTCATTTGCCGCTCAGTAGAATACAACTATGTTACCCTTCAGTGCCACCTCAGCGAGTCTGACCGCCGAACTACTGGACAATATGTTCAGTTTGTTGATGCACAAGGTGTAGATTATTTTGAAAACCTCTGCTTGAAAGGTAATCAATTCACTTATTATTTTAATGTATGAACTAATGAGACAAAGAGAATTTATTTTGTTTGTGGGTACTAATATCATCAAATTATTTCTTATTTCAAGATGACAAACCCATTGTTTCACATGGAATCTGAATTTACTGCTTACAGCTAACCAGGCATGCAAGGGCTCCCGATCTTATGGAGTTCCAAGGATTGGCGTTGCAGATGACAAAGTGTCACAATATGTCAGCCTTCACTATTATGTAGACAAAGAGATGCAGGTAAGTTGATATTTGTATATTCTAAATTTGAAACTTCGCTAACATCAAACAAAAATATATACAAATTATTAATAATAAAATATATTACAACAGAATATTATGTGCATTAAAAACTAACATAATGTTTATAAATATTTTTAGGTCAACAGTGAAGCTGCCTGCAAATTGGCTTGTGAAATCGAAACTGAATTTTTGTGCCGATCTTTCCTGTACCGTGGACCTCCTATTGGTAGTAAATACAACTGCCAACTCTTCCACCTTGACCATAAGACATTGCCTGATGGTCCCAGCACATACCTCAATGCTGAAAGACCCCTCATTGATAGTGGAGAGAGGGTTGGCGCTTATTATGAAAATAGCTGTGACAGTAAGTTCATAGATATCCAAAAGATCCTAGTTCCACTTCCACAGTTATACTGTGAGATGTGACACTTTGTAAACTGATAATAAATTTCTGTTCTTAGAATCAACAAGCACCACCCCCCATGAAACATTACCAGTTGTCTTTGACAGTACAGAAGAGCCAAATCTCAACCTCACCCGTAATGATATCAACTGCGATTCAAAGGGAACTTGTTATGATGGTAATGTATTCGAATTGATTACATAACAATAAATACTTATCGAGTAAAAGTCACATTCCTCAGCAAGAACTTTTCTGTTCCCTAAAAATCTGAAATAATCTTATCTCTATTCACAGTGTCGGTCAACTGCAAAGACACCAGAATTGCTGTTCTTGTTCGTACAAACAAACCATTCAATGGTCGCATCTATGCCCTTGGAAGATCTGAAACTTGCAATATTGATGTACACAATAGTGACCAATTTAGATTAGATCTCACTATGACTGGCCAAGATTGTAACACACAGTCTGTGGTATGTACATAAAAAACAAAATTACAAACATTTAATGTTTAATTTCCCTGTATGAATTGAAATACTAAATGTTACATTTCTCCCTCAGACTGGTGTATACACCAACACAGTTGTTTTGCAGCATCACAGTGTAGTGATGACTAAAGCAGACAAAATTTATAAAGTGAAATGTACATATGACATGACATCAAAGAACATTACATTCGGAATGATGCCAATCAGGTAAGACCACCGAATGAACTTTAAAAATGTTTAAATTATTTACAGTACTATTTTTTTGAAAGATATTTTCAAACATAATAAAATGTATCAACTACTCATAAAATGAAGAACAGAAGTCGAAAACACATGGCATTAAATGCAGATTTTTCCAATGATACAATATGACATGCAAAATATCAATGTCTTAAATATTAAAATTCTGAATTCATTTTCCCATCACCTTGGAGGTACAAAATCAACCTGTCCATCCACTGTATTGCATCAAATACTTCCAAGGCTAGCAAGGTGCACATTTAACCTTCAAAACTTTATGAGTATCTGGGAAAAGATGCACACCTTTCAAATGGAAAATGCATAAAGAAATACACTGAAATTTGTAATTGTACATAAAGTTTCCCAAATAGATCCATAAATATTCACATAATTTTAAAACCAAATTGTTATGCTCCACAGAGATCCAGAAATGATCAGCATTACCTCTGCACCAGAAGCACCTCCACCACGCATTCGCATTCTGGACAGCAGAGGTCGTGAAGTGGAGACAGTGCGCATTGGAGACAAACTCACATTCCGTATTGAAATCCCAGAAGATAGTAGGTTTTATTTCTGTTTATTTGTAGACAATAATTAACTAATATTATTATTGCTGTGATTTGTGTAAAACACAAACTCTATATGCTGAAAACAATCCTTTGAAGTTTTATGAAAACAATGTGTACTGTTGCAGCACCTTATGGTATTTTCGCTAGAAGTTGTGTAGCCATGGCCAAGGATTCAAAGAGCACCTTCCAAATAATTGATGATGAAGGGTAAGATGAAACACTACTTGAATCAACCACATAAATGATGTTAAGTTGCCGGTGATATTAGCTGGTATTGTTTACTTAATGAAATAATTTTTCCACACCAGGTGCCCTGTAGATCCCAGCATCTTCCCAAGCTTCACCCCTGATGGTAATGCCCTTCAGTCAGTGTACGAAGCCTTCCGATTCACAGAATCATATGGAGTAATCTTCCAGTGCAACGTCAAATACTGTTTAGGACCTTGTGAACCAGTAAGTTAATATATCCTTCTTTCTATTCCAGGCACAAAAGGGTGGATCTCATCTGAACAAAAACTTCAACAGAAAAGTCAACCTCCGTTTTCTTTGTTCTAGGCTGTCTGTGACTGGGGCCATGAATCAGTTGAGTCATGGGGCAGAAAGAAGAGATCCATCGCTTCCAACCACAGTGACTCTGAATCAGAGAGTGATGATATGACCCTTAGTCAAGAAATTTTGGTGCTGGACTTTGGAGATGAAAAGAACAGCCAATTCCTCAGAAATGAGGCTCCTTCATCAGAATTTGGAAAAGGTAATGAGCTGGCACCATATTCCACTATTTCACACAATTGCACATTTCTTCCAACTAACTTTAATAATATTTTTCAGATAAAACTGTTACCATCATGGAGCCTTGTCCTACCAAGACATCAGTATTAGCTCTGGGAGTCACATGTGCTCTCCTCATCCTTATTTATATCAGCACAATCTTCTGTTACTACATGAAGAAGTGGTTAACACCTCGTAAAGTTATTGCCTGAGTCATCGAAAATCTGTGATCATGTGATACACCAGAAATGTAACAAGTTCATCCAATCGACAGAGACAACTCCATGACTTGGAAGAATACACACTCAAAAACACTCATTTATTATGTTTTAAACCAGTTGCTTGAAAGATTAAGAATCGCAAATTTGTGAATCTTACTCAGTTTGCAAAGTATATCATCCATCAGCTTCCGAGATGCATTAAAGGAGGTAATAGTGGGAGAGAACAATAGTGTACACAAAGTATTGTTAAGAAAGGATGAAGAAGCAATGCATCCTTACGCAGGTGGATTAGGCATTTCTGAGTAAGGAATATATTAAAATTCTTGGTCCAAAGGCAGTGAAAACTTAAATGAAGATTAACAACCATAGAGATGGTAGTCCATCTGCTATGTAATTAGATGATTAACAACTGTACAGGAATATTATTCATATGTGTAGGCCCACATCTTAAATTCTTTGGCATACTGGGGCAAGTGAAAAGCACAAGAATTTCTAATGTTGTCCAGCCAAAGAGCTTCTCACAAGTGACTGGAGATCAATTACCAAATCCTATTCACTCAACCTCCAGGGGGTTTCTCAGCAAGGGGCAAGTCCTTTTCTTTGTATGTCAGAGCAGTAAAGGAAGGTGTGGGCCTTCAGCATATGGACCGAACCATGCAATGTGAAAGTGGTGGCTTGCAAAAATTTAGACAAATTTCATCAGCCATGTTCACATGGCTCGTTTGGCAAATGGGATATGGTGAATGGATGTTTTTTGTAATAACCTGCAGGTTAGTCATTCTGATAATTCTAATTTAAAGCTTTTGTAAATAATTTATAACACTATTTATGTCAATTACTGTTTTCAGTAATAAATTATTTCGTAATAAATTATTTGAAGTTTTGGAATAATTTCTAACATGATTCACTTTCAATCAAAACCTTCTTCATCCGAAAGTACCCATACCTCTTTCATTTTCCTTGACAATAATAGGTACTACTCACACACATGTGGCAGAGCACAAAGTGACAATGAGAAGAAGAATATATATGTTTAGTCATGAAGATTAGGCATAATTACAAATTAATAAAATCAATATAATAAACAAGACAATAAAAGTTAGCCATTGGAAAACATAATTTAGAAGTGAATGGAAGGATTTTTAAAACCATGTTTCATCATTGACATAATGAAATTCCAAACTCAAGCATGCTCCAATGCAGTGACCCATCAGCAGCTGAAAACCTAGTGATAAGATATTGAAACATAATTCTTTCAGTTACTTTTTTTGCATCGATCAATGGATCAATTTTATTTGTGTTTTCATGTGGCTTGGAGGTCCAATCAAAAATGTTGAAGTTACACAGTTCTTTTTCTTTTTCCTCTTTTTTGTGTTCTTGAATTCCTTCAGTATAAGTCATGATTAATCATCTAAAAGACACATTAACAAAAAATGAAAATATCATTTTCAGTTCAAAATTAGTCATGATTTTTTTATATTCATATACAGTACTTGCCTAATTTACTCAGTCAAATCACTCTCAATTGTTTTTCATGAAACTTCTATCATGATTAGGGTATTAATTAAAATTATCACAAGAAATAACTTAGTATTAGCCGATCTAAATTTCACAAAGTTTGTTTTTATTAAATGAAAAACTACCTCAAATAATTAAAATTAAAATATTAAACATGTGAAGTTTCACTAATTTCAAAAGAGTAAACTTTTCTCCATATTAAGCACTTGAATTGGTTAGCAATGTTTACAAATCTTAACATTCTTACTTCAAAGTGGCATACTGTTTTTGCTACATGCAACATGTTAATTAACAATATTGAGAAATAGATATTAAAAAAATTTTGTTTACCAAATTCATAGATTTGATGTCTTAGTTAGAAGAGTGTTTGTGGTATAAGTAGAATTCATATTTCATTATTTTTTGAATTAAAGGGCGAACTGTTTCAAAGTTAGGGGAATAACTCAAAACAAAACTACTCAGTAATAAAACTAAAGTACAGAAAAGTCGAAAACTTACTTAATTTCAATCATTTCTGGTTGTAGTTTGTCGTGTAGTGTTCTAGTGTAGTCATAGTTGGCAGGATTTTTTCTTCCTTTACCGCCAGTTGGATTCGCGGAGTGTTTCATGTTCTCTGCCAATAAGTGCCTTATTTTTACCTAATGGTAAGCTAGGAGTACGAAAAAGATAAGCCTACATTTATCTTAAGTACAAACAACACTAAATTGACGGAGACAATTTCAAGAAACTTTGTGCAAACCTTGCCAACAAATGACGATAAGAAAGAGGAAATAATTTTATACAGGCCTTCTCGGCTACTTTCAAAAGACGTATATACACACACGCACTGGTCGCACAATATTACGTGGGATTATTTTTATTTCGATATGCTTTTGTTCCTGGCCGCGTGAAAACTTCACGCGCGAGAGACTAAAGTATGCAGATTTCACAATTTTGTAAGTGTTTTGTTTATTACAAGTGTGTACTAAGTCAACGAGTCAAAGATATCTCTAGTTCGCGGGCTGTAGTCTTCAAGGTACGTATTAACAATTTTCTTCAGAAGGGGACATTCAAATCTTAAGGTGGTTAGAGCGAGGTACGTTTCCTGTTTAACATGCCTTTTTACGAATAGTCTAGCCCACTAACTTCGTTTCCGCAACACAATTTGAATGATGTTCCAGATCTTTTCTTTCCAAATTTCTGTTTCGTGAATTCCTTCATTCGAACACTTCAGAAAGTGGAAATCATACATCCGGCATTTTACAGGGATTAATTGAATCCCTGGCAAGGGTTCTTTTACATGTCACAAGCGTGACATGGCTATTGTGGATTTTCGGCCCTTTGAAAATCAGGGCACCTTGGCCGGGATCGAACCCGAGTACTGATGGTTCAGAGGTCAGTAAGGTTACTTGTTAACCCTCCGAGACCCCAGAAAACGCTTCAAGCTGCCCCTAATTGGCTGGAGTTCATACCCGCCAAATTGCATACCTCTCCTATTGATAAGCGAAACTAAAACTAAATCATTCGACAAGGATATGAGGGGTTTTTTTTTGGGGGGGGGGGAATTCGTTGATTTAAGAATCGCGTGTTATGGATAATAATATTCATGTTTTTATGCCTCTTACAGTTTCAGTAAGTAGTATCAACTGAAACTAATGACATGTTTAATGAACTGATGGTGATACACTTCATTTCAACTTTGTTTGCCATTATTTGGCTTAATTGTTGTTACAGCCCTTGACATTGAAATGTTATTTGCATATCTAGCTACAGCTTGTGATAAGAATGTCCATATTGAAAATTTAGTTCAATATTCGTTGAACACTGAATTTTCGAAAAATGTAGAAGTTCACTCTTTTCTATGTTTTCCTATAAGTACAATATTGAAGATAGACATTTTTCCTTAATGAAATGAGTTCATTAAAAACATATTTAAATACGGGCTTTTTCAATTCTGCGAAAATGTGAGTCATTTTTGCGAAATTTACGTGAAACATTGATCATTTTTAAATTGTTCAAAAATGTTCCAAATTTTTCAATGAAAATGGGCACTTAGGACTACCTTAGGATTTTACCTTTCTATACTATTCTTAACGTCAGACTTCAATTCTATTATTAGGTATCATGAAAATTGAAGAAACCCAAATAAAAATATTATAATAATAATGATGATGATGATGATGATGATGATAATAATAATAATAATAATAATAGTAATAATAATAATAATAATAATAATAATAATAATAAATAAAATTAGGTGCCAATAGATATCATCAGAGAAGAGTGTGGGGCAAAACCGAAAACATAGCACACACTGAAGACATATGGAAATTAACTAGTACGAGAAAGTCTGTGCCATTCTGTACACTCGCGCACTGCTTATGCAACATAGAGAAAGTATTTTAATGTTGCGGGGAAGAAAGGCGATTTTTCGACGAAAAAACTCTTGTTGCCAACCTTAGTAACTAAAAAGTGGATAAATCTGACAGAAAAATCGATTGACAGCAAAACATTGACGATCTGCGGTCAACGCTAGCACCTAAACCGTTCATCGTATTTTCTCTAAAATGGATATTTCCCAATCGACTTGGACGAACTCGATTGATTGATTCCGGGCGCGGCAAAGTCTAAGGCTATTGTTCCCGTAAATGTAGTGTATGTTTCATCACTGAATGTGGCAGTGAACTTCTCCTTCTGGATGGGCCTACCAGCACGTCGGTGGCGGTATTTTCACCAAACGCGTATCTCCCATCAGCGGGGCACCGCCCCAGCTGGGACAAGCTCTAAGCTCCCGACATGTGTGGTAGCGTAGTGCATGTAGGTAAGGTATGAAGATAGGCCCAGGAAGAGGAAGGAAAGGTCCCGCGTGATTCTTGGGTCGTTTGTTACGGTACTGCTTCAGCATTCGCCTGGTGTTGATCGGAGAAGCAACGGAAAACTACCGATCAGAGCAGCCGGACCCTAGAATTTTCCTCCAGACTCGACCTACCTATCTTGACGAAAGCCCTTCCACCGTCGGGACTCGAACTCTAGAATCTCCCGGTCAGAAGCTCTGCAGTGACACCAATTGTGCCGTGTGCCACCTAAATCGGTTTTAATTAACTCTAGAACCTGCGAGTTTGAAACGGATAGTTTAATTACTTTTTTGAGTGAGGAACTTTACATGAAGCCTCAACTATAATTTGAGATTTTTTGAAAAATGATTCCAATTTTTTCCTTTCATTTTATTATTATTATTATTATTATTATTATTATTATTATTATTATTATTATTATTATTATTATTTTGATAGAGCAAAAGACGCTCAAAGAAATGGCGTAGGTCGCATTTTTTATGACATTCGCTGAATTTTCTAAAATTGCAAAAGTCGCCCGCCGCAAAGAGAGCAAATTTCGCATTTCCAGTATTTTGGCGGAATTTCGCATTTCAGATATTAAGTGGTGTTTGAAGAGCAACAATATTTCTTTTCGGGTACTAATGAGCAATAAAAAAGCGACAAATTTCCATGTAATTGTTTTTTGATCTCTGTAATTTCTTGGTTTTCTGGTAATTGTGATGCTAACTTGATGTCCATTGATGCCGATTGTTTATAGAAGGCTCAAATGAAGAACGACAAGTTTTTGCATTACAAATTAGCGACAAATTTTAAGTTTAATTCCAATTTTTTTTTAACTTAGCTACGCAAATTTTAGGGGTCTCGTGAGGAAGAGGCCCGGAAATTTCAAATCCGACGAGACACTGGAACTGTGGTTTGCAGATAGACAACTTTGCGAATGCCCTTACCAAGTTTACTAATTCTGATTGGCTCGCTTGCTCGGTGCCCTTTTTCGCTTTATACTTCCCGCTCCGTCTCCGCTATCGCTACTACTGATCATTCATGAGCTACCAAGTCATCTCAGTTTACGGAACTTGTTCGAAGGATGACCGGGTAAAATTCGGAATTATTTGGAAACACATTTTTCAAGATAAAATCAGTTCTATGCTTCGGTTTTAGAGGATACGAAACGTCTGCCCCTATTATAGCACCAGTAGAGTGGTTTGTGAAATAAAATAAACTAGTGATAATACAGAATGGCACAGACTTTCTCGAACTAGTTCGTTTCCTTATTTCTTTGCTCTGGGCTCTATTTAAGGTTTTGCTCCACCCTCTTCCCAGCTGCCATCCATTGCTACCTGATAATTTTTTCACATTACCAAGATAATTTTTTCACATTCATTTTTCAAATTTTTGGTTCCCTAATGATAGAACCGTAACACGGCTTTATGAATACTATAGAGATGTAAAACCTCGCCATACATGGACCATTTTCGTTGAAAAATTTTAAGAAACAAACGTTTGAATGTTTCTGCAAATGCGTGACTGCGAGCCCGATTTTTCAGAATATTTTTCACTTTTCGAGGAACTTTATGAGTAGAGTCCGGATTTTTATGTAATTACATTTTTTGTCCGATCTAAAAATTATAATTTTGGCGATTCGTCGCCGTCCAAACACAATATCAAAATTGTTCGTTACATATTTAGTATTATATTAAATATTTTACATATTTTGCTACTTTCACAAATATTTTTTTTAATCTATCAAGTTTCTTTAATTTACTGACTCGTTTTTATGAAAAGAAGTATTAAAAAACACTATTATTTCCTCCTCCGTTACGGCGTGCTAACTCGAGGTTCGCTACGTGAAGACATGGTAGGATGTTCTCTGTCCTGCACGTCTGCATCAGTTATCTCAGTGGCGGAAAATGCGCGTCAGTGACTGTGATCAGTTTCACCTTCAGGTGTGAAAAGTATCACTGATCTTTAACCTTAATTTGCCAGAAACTTTGTCGATCGTCAACGTGACTCTTGGCTGAGAACGCTGCACGCAGCAGTGATGGTTTGCTGGTCGTTGATATCGCCAGTATGCAGGATAATTTCTATTGCGGCTGGTCTGGCTGCTAAAACGGCCGTACTGAATAGTAGTAGATGAAAGTTTTACAACTGACGGGAAAGTTGTATGGTACAACGCATGCATCAATTTGTACTCTCCAAATTACTATTAAAACGTTTGTATTCTTTTTAAAATTTATTTTGTATTTTTTTTATAAGGGTAACTTCGTATTATGTAAATGTTCGTTTCATTATTAGTGTACTTTAATATTACACATTTTATCCCATTTTACATATTTACTACGTATTCTTACTGTTTTCATTCCATATTTATGTTCATATTTTGATGTTTCATACTACATATTGTTTCGGTTTCTATTTATGACAATATTTAAAGTATCCTACCAAAAGTCTGAAAAAAATGGAGACGTTTTTGAGTAATTTTTATTTCTAATATTTGTGTGATGTACATATTTCACGAAATATTACACGAAAACTACTAAAATGTTTAAAGAAAAGTGCATGACGTCAATGAAAGAACTAATTAGGAAGAATACATTTCATTTGAAGAAAAATCTCCATCTTCAATATTGAAGTTGTGAGGAAACGCCGAGAAAAATTCAAACTCTTGAAACCTTCAAAAAATCAAAGTTAACAGTAAATATCGAACCTATGCCTTCCTGAGAAACATATTTCAATCTATTCTTACAACAAATTTGAAGAAAAAATTTGAAGCCATTTTTGAGAAAATATAAATGTTCCCGGGGCTTGATTTTAAGATTTTAAACAATTTTCTTCAAACATCCAAAGCTTTGAGATAGGCCAGATCGACCAGTAAATATTCATTTTCGATAAAATTCTAGGAATACTTGTAGTATCGGCCCTAGTGTTGTTCACTGATGGACAGACACACAGACGGACGTTTTGAAAAGGAAAAAAACAACTATTTCGGTATCAGAGGGCCCCAAAACATTAATTTCGTTGAAATCTCGTTGAGATTGATATTCCGTAACATTACATAACTTTATACTATATATATATATATATATATATATATATATATATATATATATATATATATATATATTATTCAGTATATTCGTAGTATAGAGTATACAATAATGTAAAACTAATTTTGTGATGCGGAGAATAGCGAAAGCATTATCTGACAAATCACAGACGGGCTACAAGAGAATCGCCTGCTTGTCTGCCTCGCTCCCAGCCCGCTCCTCCTACCTCTTAGAATGCTTCTGTGCACCTAGGACTCGGCGTCCCCACGTGCGGCGGAGGGCTGTTATGGGGAGAGAGGCATTGCATTTTGCATTTTTTTAATTCTTCCCAGAACTAATCTAATTTTGTTTTCAAAAACTCATTTTTATTTTTTTTGTAAAAGAGGCTTTCGTGCGCGGCCACGAGCGCCTTGCATTCGTTCTTCGCGAACGCCTTTAATTTGGTTTCCTGTTCTCCGAAACGCGTAGAGAGCTTCCTCTCGAAAGCATCGAGTTCGCTTTTTTGTTTTTTCACGGTTTCCGCAGACTTACTTTCGTACGCGGCCGCGAGCGCTTTGCATTCGTTCTTCGCGAACGCGGTTAATTTGGTTTCCTGTTCTCCGAAACGCGTAGAGAGCTTCCTCTCGAAAGCATCGAGTTCGCTTTCTTTAATCACGGTTTCCTTGTCATCTCTCTTCTTTCGCTTCTCAACACCATCGATTTGTTCATCGACATAACGCTTCGTGACGGCGTGACGCGTCCGAACCACATGTCCGAACACATCCATCGCATTGATACGACTGTGAGTTTTGTTTTAGGCTTGCGAGTATTTATTAGTTTTATTCATAAGGCAGCAGCAAAGCGCGCGCGTGCAGTCCACGGTCAGCAACCGGATGTTGCGGTTGATATCGCTGGCAAGCTTCGCTGCCAGGTGCAAGAGCGAGAGTGCCGACGCTACCACCTTTCGCCGGCAGAGCGCGCACACACACGCTACCGGCTTTAGCCGACAGAGCGCATGCGCTGTCCTAAATGGAGCAAGCGAATCTCTTGCATTCACACATGCTTAACTCTCGCGTTCAAGGTCTGTTGCGGTTGATACAGCGCGCTGCTGTGCACTCCAATTACAGACCTGACGTTGCGGTTGATATCTCTCGCGCTATAATTTTGCTCACTCCAATTACAGACCGGATGGTGCAGTTGATATGTCTCGCGCTATAATTTTTTGCCCTTCGAAAGAAACTCACTCAGTTACGAAACTTTGCAATCGTAAGACGAAGCATGATGCAGCGTGAGAGCATTATGTATTATTTGCGTTTCGCTGACATTAACGAAGCACGCTTCTTTCCTACGATGTTTTCCAAGCTGCAGCATAATGTCATATGCTGCCGGCTCGAATGACGTGGAACGGCATTCATTATTTTGTTTAAACGCGGATGGTTGAACACACGCGAATTATCGGATATGTATATGTAGGACACTGTTGCATTATTGCATACCGCTCACGGGCTACTGTAGCGATAACGAACTTCCTACAGTCTCAGGATGGTGACGATCGAGATGTTGTTTGGACGTGTTGGCTTATTATGGCCTTCTTGATCTTCTCTCATGGCGGCACGTATACTGCATTTGCCTGAAATTGTAATGTCGGTGCAGTTTTGACCGCGGCACTGTCATGCTGATGGGCCTCTTGCATATATATTTCTCGCCTTATAAGGCAGGTTTTCGACGGGTTGGGTGCACCACGCAACGTCAACATAGCACCTCTTGACGCCGGCCGCTGTCGCCGTCCACCGCGCCATCAGCACTAGCAGTCGCCAGGAAGGCACGAGGCGTACCGTTGCGACGACCCCCCCCCACGTGCACGACCGCCACCGCCGCCCGCGATCACCAATTGTCGGGGGCGGTAACATCGAGCGCGCAGCGCCGCTGGCGCTTAAGAGGGTCGCTGTGACTTCTGCGGCGGCCGCACACCTTGCCAACGCTGTCGCCGCCTCGGACTGCCGACCGGTCAAGCATCTCCCTCTGCCCCGGATCACGCCACCGACGCAGTAAAATAAGTTTTAACAGTAACCAGTACACAAAATTTAAACAGTTTCACGCAGTAAAAAAAATATTCTTCTGACTGTATTTGAGTTTTCTTCTTCTCATTGGTTGCAGTGCTTTGAATCACGTCAACCGCGAGGCTTTACCCCAATAAATGGAGGACACCTTCCACTGGTTAAAAGCTGCACATAGGTGTATTATTATGCTGCTGTTATAAAATATCTTTAATATATATATATATATTTATATATATATATATATATATATATATATTATTATGTAATATAAATAAATTCTATTATCGTTGTTCTCATTTTGTTATATAAAGAAAACAAGACAATTAAATGGCACTGTTTTATTGTTTGCCTGTCAACAACCTTGTAGAATTATTGACCTCTTTTTTATCATAATTTCATGAATGTAAGTATTTGAATCTTATTATTTCATTTAATACATGTTTGGTAATTGACAATATTAATTTATAATACCAATTAATAATTTAATTCATCTCTTTACTATTGTATTTTTGTTTGAGGATTTGAGGAATGAAGTAGGAAATAAAGAAGAAGAAATGTTACGTTTTAATATCATATTTATGATTTATTCACTAATGATTACAGTCGTTAAATAATGATCGAACACTTTACATGTCGCAGCGAAGGTTTAATATGTCAAGTGAAGTGGAAGAGTTTGTTAATGTGACACATTCAGAAAATTCGGTCTGTACTTTCTCTTCGCAGTATGGACTGTATATTCAGTTCGTTCAATGCAGAGTTCGCACGTTGTGTTCTTTTTTCTTCAAAACATCAACCTCCCTCTCTAGTCGCGTGGTGCCCAAAGAGCACCCTTTGGCCACCACGCGACTAGAGAGAGAGGTCGATGTCTTGAAGAAAAGCGAAGAGAAAGTACAGTCCGAATTTCTGGAATGTGTCATATTACACAACCCTTCCACTTTATTTGGCCTAAAAAAACTTCGCTCCGAGATGTACAGGTGTTTTCTAGAACACAACATAGATTATACAAACATAGATTATACACAACACATAGATTACATAGATTTTAAGGATTAAACATTACATTTTATGCGTTAATTATTTCATATTGAATGAAATAACCTTTTATATTGGCCCAAACTTTTGGTTTAAAATAAGTCCTTTAACTTAATATTAGGACAACGTTTGCATTGTTGGTGTCATTTCACCAACGTAAGATAAATGCGGCCTTTCTTTAAGAAAATTTTCTGTCCTATTTGTTGAATTTCAGCAGTAAATTGAAAAAGAAAAAAGTAAGTACACATTTTTTAAAATATATATATATATATTATATATATATATATATATATATATATATATATATATTTTTTTTAAATTTTAAAAGAGAAGCACCTCGTTGGTAGCTAACGCCAAACTATTGTTAAGCGTAGCTACATATGATATTTTATCATATTTGCCAGTGTCAATTAACGTAATATCGGTTATTTTCGAAGAACAATCCTTTCGGAATGTTTCGAATTTAAGCCTGTTGTGTTCCGACTCTGCATTTCTTTCATTTCGGCCCATGGGCTTGCAATAAAAATTATTAATTATATATATATAATTAAAAAATATTAATTTCATATATGTCATTTATTCTTTGATGATTTATATACTTACTCTTGTGTCTTTTAATTTTATAAATCAATACCATTGCAATTTTGGTTTCCTGGGACGAGTCTCACAGCTTGAGCATCCTGTTTATTAAAGTGCCGTTGTCGGGTTTTCTATCCACGGTTGTTGGGGGGTTGAATGGCAAAACATATCACCATGTTTTCATTACCATGAAATGACAGAGTGCCTGTCTATTTGCGTTTTCAAAAACATCATCACCCGAATCCGGAACGATGATATCTTCCGTGGTGGTAGCGGATATCTTTCGGACTACCCTTTCTTACCCTTTCTTCTCGTCTTCCCCACTCCCTTTCCATTCATTGTTAGCCTTCCTCTTCTCCCATTCGAAAGATGGCTTGCCACTTAGCTGCAACTCCATGTTTGCCTTTGACCCAATGTGAACATTCATGGGAGATCCACGTTGCTTAAGCAGTAAGTTATTTTCTTTTGTATTTAGATGATATTATTGTTGTTGTTGTTTTTTTTTCACTAAATTCACTGACCCCCCCCCCGTTTTGTTTAACATATGTTTGTTTCATTTCTTCATTTTGCTAGAGATCCACTGAGGATGGGAAAACTTTTTTCCCGAAAGTTAACTCTGGAAAATTGTTAATAAAATTATTAAAAACTTTGTGGAGATTTATTTCCTTTACAATACGATGATATCTTCGTCTTCGTCTAGCAGGTCTTGCGTGTTTATATAATAATTAGGAATGTCTCTGTCAAATATAAATTGTTGTTAACAATGCGTATGTGTTCAATGCGGTGTTTGCTGATGCTTTGCATGTTATACAGTTTCGATGTTTTGCATCAGAAGCCATAATCTGCTCCCGGGGTGACCTTTGCTACGGTCCTTTTTTCAGCCATTGCGTTTGCGCACAGTGCGTAGCTGCACTACAAGCGGTCGACTGTGGTGTGCTCGGATGGGGTCCCATAAATGCCTGGCTGACGTCCAATTAACCGAGCGTTTTTATCGCTATCGCTTGCGGTTCGGCGAGCTGTTCTTATCACTATGGCTTTCTTGAGCGCCCACGTCTTCCGCTCATTAGTTGTAATCTATGTGGTGCAATGCTGTCGCTCCGATTTATCGTTATCGCTTTGCGGTGCTAATTAGAATGGTTTAACACTTTATCATCATGTCAGCGTCTACCGCATTATCGCTATCGCTTGCTCGAGGACCGACGTCTTCCGCTCATCGGTTGCAATCTATGTGGTAGTCGGCTCTGATGTGTTATCGTATCTGCTTGCGGTGGCTCCGTCTTCCAGTCATTAGCGCTGTGCGTGTATAATCTGTGACGTATGTGCTGCACATGTTGGGCCCCTGATAATGTGTGTGATAGTGTGAAGTTTTAAAACACACGTCTGCAGACGTCCGCCTTAGTCGCTCGTTCGCTGTGTTCATGGATAGCGCGGACATTCTATCGAATTGTTTTTCGTAACGGTCGTCTTATAGTTATTTACGCTGTGCTAGTAACGTGTTTATTGTTTGACTTTGTTAAACGTGTGATTGTAGGTAGTATTGAGTCACTCGAGATGAAAAAAAATTCTTTAAATCGTCACGTTCGCGACAGCGTAGAGACTCACTGTATGTCGACAAGCGAAGCGACTCTCCGCAGCGGAGGATGGTAAAATATTCTTGTAGTAGTGGGTGCGTAAGTGATGTGTCGAATTGTAGTTTCATTTATGTCTTTTTGTGTGGCGTGTTTTGTTTGTTTCTATAGGTAGACAAATCATCACAAATCAACCAAAAACGAAGTTCTTGTATTGGCAAACGGTCTCCAATGGACGGACGTCGCGCGTCTTTAAAACCAGACGTGGTCGTTCGGGTGTCATTACGAAATCCTCTCCCCACACGACATCAACGATCCGGTCGAGTTCTCAACCTTGTCGTGTTCTTCATATACGATGTTTGAAGCACGGACTGCAGTGTTATCAGAGGATGACATTTTGGAATTTTTCCGTTTCTCGTATCGACATCCTATAAATTCCATATTCGACGAGTTTCCGGAGAGAGATTCCGGAAAATGTTTTGGGTTGCCTTCGTTATCGTTCGCTCTGTCCGAGTTTTCGGTCTTCAGCTCTGTTCTATATACCTATCGGTGATCATGGGGCCCTTTTTCTTCCTCTTCCAGCTTAAGCAGTTGCGAGACCCGTGTGCTTGTGATCATGCGTGCAAATGAGAGCGATGAAATCTGTTGTCTCTCTGTGGCGCTGCTCGGCTCGCCCACAGTCTCGGATTGCCGCGGATCTCCTGCCCTGCTGTTCCAAGAGGATAAAACGTTTCGAACGTCAAAAATTCTAGCTTTTCCTTTAACGTTTTCACATAGAGTTTGATTCGGCAAAAAATCTGGGAAAAATCGTAGGTCCTGTAACTTTGGCGGGTAGAAAGAAAGAGAACCATTTAAGGGCTTGTGATCTTCATGCGTAACGGGACCGGTCCATTACGGTGTTGGAGTGAATATAAATTTAGGGTGTAGCAGAGTTGTCTTTCAGTCCGTTTAACATTCTGTCACAAGGGAGGTAGATGATTTCGTTTGGCTGGATCAGATGTTGAATGCATTTCAGCTCGCAAACGCATCTCGAGGCTCACGAAATCGATTGTAGATCCGTGGGGTCGCCGCACGTTGATCCTTCGTCGAGACGAAGCAATGAAGAGTGCTTCATGCAATTTCGACACTTCGAAAGACAACAACGATGCCGATCGCGGGTTTACGTGATTTCGAAGCACTCGCGCTTCCCGTGTCTTGCGTGTTGTAGCCGTCTTTGAATGGATCCTTGGGTCTTTTCAGAGCCGATCCCAACTTCACAAACCCTTTTTCGGCGGCGCTTTAAGTGTTGTGTCGCGTTTGATGAGGGGTTCGCGGAGTCAGCGTAGCTCATCGGTTCTACGGTCCCGACGTCGGATACATTTGATAGCGTTGCCTAGAAGGTCTCGCGAAAGTATTACGAACAACCTTTGAGTTGTCTGCACCCCTCGTGATGAGCGACGAGGACGAGAGTCTTTTTCAAAATCCGACTATGTCACATATGCAAAGGCCCCTTTCTTCCACCTTCCGTTCGCGTCAGGGACCACGACTCATTTTTCGGGTGTCTTTCGGCGCGCGGCTCATCAAGCGTGTAAACGTCAAATTTGTCCCGCCCGAAATTCATTCCGCGTCGTCCATGCACACGAGCGGTTAGCGGTTGGCATTTTCTCCTTCAGGCTGGGGCGAAAAGAAATGTACGAATAAGACGGGCTGCGCGCGGTTCGCACAATGCACGAGGAGATTCGTGGTCGATTTTTCAGATAAAGGCGAGAAGAGGAGCGGAGGTGGTAAGAGCTCTTGAAGATTTTTAGGTGAGTGCGCTCGACGTTTTAAGTCGATCGCTCGATTCAGGCCGATTTGGACATTCTACCGCGTGGGTTTTCCCGACGATCGTCTTTCGCATTGGCCAGAAGGAAGGGGGTGGTTTTCCTACGGATTATTCAACATGCCAATTGGGCCGAAACGAGGTAGGGGCGCGGGGGAGGGTTTTCTTACATGTCGCTTCTCACAGACTACACCGTGTCACGTACGCTCACGCGCAGGCGGTGTGGGACGCGTCTCTCGTTCAAATTTGCTTCAGTACGTCTGATGGTAGTTACGGGTTGAAAATCGACGTCCGCTAGATAACCGACACGATGGAAACATTTCGAAATGTGTGGTTTAAAGTGTACGGTTCTCGATCCTCTGTTTTCTACTGCACCGCTCCGGCTTCCGTGGACGCCATGGTTAAAGACACCGGTGTGTCGACTACGAGCTACTGCACCGGACATCGACATGGTTCTCTTTTTCGGCGGGGGGATCGGGGGACTCGTCCAAGTGATCGACGGTACGCCGAGGCCAATCATCCCTTTGCGGTGATCCGCTTCCGACCAAGCGATTAAGGAATCTTATCTCGCCTACGTCGCGGGAATAATTGTATGGTTCTTTCATGCACATCCGCTTCCGGTGGGCGACTTCCGGTGGAATGCGTAAAGCGACATCGAAGCGGGTGAACGTTGCAGAAGCGGCTGCGGAAGTCGCATCGGGGATTACGTTTTGGAGGTCGGCCTCGACTAACCCTGATTGCCATCCACGATCGCTAGAGCGATTTCCGCCCTGGCCCCGGAAACCCGCGTCACCCCCGACTCGTAAGAGCGGGCAAGTCAAGTTGCTGGCCGGACGCTGCTGCCCAAAGCTCGATTACGTCGTTCACGTTCTGAAATTTACTTCAAGTGGCCCTCGAGTTGGGCGCGTGCACTCACGAAAATTTCATCGCCTTCTCTCTTTTATGCAATGCGACCTTGGCTTTGTCAGCGTTACATGGACCTGAAAAACCGCGCGAACGCGCGTCCTCCGATTTCGAAGATAAAATTTTATAAAGTTGATGACATTGATATTACGGGCAAGTCGATGGAGGAC